GTCTTGAAGCTTTCATTGCCAACAAAGGCTTTTGTACAAAGTATTAGATAAATTTCAGTAAGCATGTTCAATACTTTGTCATTCCACATTATTACAAATAACTTCATTTCTGGACATTTATGGTTTGATTTCTTTGTATGTATGGATCACTTGGGTTGTTACCGACATCTGGTGAAAATTTAATGTCATTAGCACCTCTAGTAATATATTTACTGAGAAAAATGGTGACGTGTTCAATACTTATTTTACCCGCTGTACATCTGTAAGAATAAAGTCTGGGCTTTGTGCTAAGAACCAATTCTAAGAGCGCCCAGGAAAACAAAATGATGTGGTTTCTGTCACGCAGTGAGAGCACATTTCATTGCTTCGTGTGACCAGTTGTAGCTTCTTGTGACGGTTCCAAAACAGACCACACTAAGGGGGGGTCATCGTTTTCTGCATCCAATTTTACAAAAAACCCCATAACATCTGTGCCTTCCATCCAAACACAATTGGAGCCTTTACAACACCCTGTGTCATCCTGCATTGTGTCCTGGTCTGGTCAGCCAGGTCCTAAAACCTTTTCCAATTCAAAAAGTGCAGGATCAACACTGGCTCTGATCTGATCTGCTGGATCTGGAGGGTCAGTTACAGCAGCTGTTTGACTTCTTTCTTTACAGAATCCCTGCTTGTATCCAAGCCTGATGGGATGTTATGCTCCTTTTACATTCTCACTCATACATAATGAGCATATTGGTGGGCAGGGACACTTTACTGGTTCAAGCCTTGTTTAATTTAGCAAAAAAGTAGTGTTCTTGAAGTTCATTTTAATAAGTATACTTGTGTAGAAATTTAAGTATATCAAGTACGCTATTCACCATGTACTTGTAGTGTACTAGAAAGTATACAGATTTAATATTTGGTTGGACTAAATTGGGACATTTTTAATTTATAAAAGTATATTTTAAAGTACCTGTGACTTAAATTTTTTGTAATAAATATGAATGCATTTTTGGATAGATACTGACAACGTATTGCTAAAAAAATTCCATGCTGCTGAGATGAACAGCTGTTGAGATATTTGCATGTGAAGAAACAGGAAGTGATGTCAAAGGGGAATGTCTGCATGTGAACAGAGCGTTGCTACAACAGCCGACAACACAGACTGTAGAGAAGAATCTGATGTTTCTTTAGATTATTGTGAGTCACTATCAGAGAGATGAAGAGTCAAAGTTCAAATAATGTTTCAATAAACAAAGACCAGAGAGTTTCCCTTTCATGCCACTTCCTGTTTCATGTTTGCTGAGTCAAGAAAATATCCCAGTTACAAGACAAAATAAATAAAAACCTCATATACTACTAGTGTACTACTACGTATATACATACTTCTGATTCACATTTTAGCTTGCAGAATAATATTTAAAGTATACCACAAGTATGCTTTTCTCTATGCTGCTATAGTCCACATTACAGTGGCAGCCAGCTCTGATCTGATCTTGGAAACTAGCAGGGTCAGGTCTGGTTAGTGACTTGATGGGAGAGCACCTGGGAATACCAGGTGCTGTAAAACCAATGTAGGAGTTGGAACATTTGCAATAGAAAACCTTTGATCATAGACTTTATGAAAAAATGATAAAAAAATCTCATTTAAGTAAAATTTTATGAATTACTAATTTAGCCATTTTACTTGTTAGATTATACTTGTAAGTTTGCTTAGCATATTACTTGTAGAATACTATTTATATGCTGAAATTTACTTCCTAAAGTATTCTTAAAGATAACACTACTGTATATACACTACATCAGTGGTTCCCAAACTTTTTGTCGTCTGACCTACAAAATATTCATGGCAAAAACTTTTGACCCCAAATATTACTGGTCTGATTACATGAGCTTTGTTAATAACCCTAAAAACACAGGCTTTTTGACAATCTAAACAGCTTATACACAAATATAAATACTTATTTTTACTTATTTTGTGTTTTTGTAATACAGTATATTGCATCAGCAATCATTTTATTACCCTTTAAATTGATTTCTGGAGATTATCCAAGGTGCTTCATGACCTATAATTGGG